TGATTCCCACACAACATGGCCACAAGCAAACTACACCACGTGGCTGTCAGTGATGCTTCAGCAGTAGATTGCTGGCATATTTGTTAAGAATATTTTTGCTGTACAATTAATTTGATCTAAAGTAAATTAATGCATCTATTATTTATATTATTGTGTCGCATTTACTAGTAAAGTCACTCCAAATTTATCTTTTTACACAACGTATTACTCCAAATTGGTTTCCCTTATAGTCAGCAGTGATAACTTGTGCATAAATTGACTTCATTAATAGTATAGCAAATTTTTATGCACATATTACCATTGTAGACAGTTGTGTTTACAAGAGAATACTTCAAAATGGTTTTGGTATTTTCATTGAGTTTTTTTGGTCCTATAAATGAACTTCAATACAGTTCAAGTTACTTTTGGCTATAATCTTCGGTTCTCTGTGATTAAAAAAGCAAGATTAAAAAAATGTATCCAAAGGTCAACAATTCTTTCCTCTGATCGAATATTAGTCTGAGCCAAGAAATCCACAAAGACTTCTCTTGCAGTGGCAAGTTAAGGCTGTGTGATACACATACATATTATATATTTGTTTTTACTTCAGGGGTAGTTTCCAGGGAAGAAGTGGGGATAGTAATACATCATATGACCAAGGAAGAAGGGAACAACACAGAGTTTATGTCCAAAACATTCCTATGGACATGCAACAAGTAAGCATTTGATTTAGTAGCTGGTAGTCTTGTAGAATTCAGGGGGAGTATCTGTTGGTTTGTAAGCACCCCACCATTGACAAATATGGATAATTCACTGTAATAAATATTCTATCAATACAGTTTAAATACACAAAAACACATTTCCCTCAAAATAATGAAGTATCTGAAYTGTTTACAATAGGATAGCATTGAAACCCTGTTTARTAAATGTGGTCAAGTTGTATCAACGAAATTATTGGAACCAAGAGGAGGACGAAACACTGTTGTAGGGTAAGATGATACTTCTTGTTGTTTCATGAATAATTTTCAAACACTGTTAGCATGCACTTTCTTTAATGGCCCTTTTCTGAAATACAAATTCTCTTTGCATTGTAGTATAACTTCAGTGCAAACAACACCATATTAGGCCTCATAGACAAAGGGCATTTGTAATGCATATGGACCAGAATGCACTGCACAATGCCAGTTGTATGTTTTAATGGTTATCTTAATTTCCGTTGATACTGTAGGTTTGTTACATTTTCTACTGAGGAAGCAGTTGAGGAAGCGATCCAGAAAATGACTGGCTGTACGTTAGGTGATGGCCCACCATTGCGAGTTATGCGGCCTGCTAACAAAAGCAATAACAATAATCAGTCCAGTAAGTGATGAACAGACAATGGTGATTGCTCTCTTATTAGTTTCAAGTCAAAATGTTTTTCAATAACATAAGGTGTACTTAGATATTTTGCTATAATTATGATCAATAGTGAAGATTCACAAATTATTGTATGCCTTCTTCTAGGTGTGACATGTCACAAATGTGGTGAAGCGGGACATTATGCAAATAAATGTCCCAGTGGTAATACAGAAGAGAACAGGCAAGGTATCAATTGCTGGTGTTTATTTATGATATTAATTCACAGCCACTGATGAATAGTGAACATGGTTTTCATCTTTTAGGTAGCATATGTTACAAATATARAGACCTGAAATTATGCTTTCACCACATGTTGAATGGTATTTATTTTGTTTACCTCTTTAGGAGGAAAAACTTGTTTCAAGTGTGGTGAAGCTGGTCACTTTTCAAGAGAATGYCCTAATAGTTCTGGTGACAATAGGCGATTTCAAGACAACAGTCAGCAACATAACAACAGGTTCCACAATGGTCCATCAAATAATGCACCACCAACAGAGAGAAGCCCCTTTGGTAACAATAGTAGAAATAATGCTCCAAACCCTGGTTCAAATAGTAACCAWTCTAGTGAAACAAACTTTATGGCAATGCTTGGTAGAGGAGAGACTAGGAATACTACTAATCTACCAAGACCAGGGCAAAGCAAATCTTTTCCACCATTAAAACCCTTAAACAMCACACAACCCATGCAAAATGGCTATCAYGATAAGCCAGTTGGMCAGGGGTATCAAAGCCAAACAGGATTACATGCTCAGGAAGAAAAGCCTCAAACATACAATTATAACCAACCAATGACTCAAGGGTACCAACAGGCATCTGGTCAAGGCAATTACCAGGGACAGCAAGGCTACCAAGAACCTGGTCAAGGGAATTTCCATCAGCCTCCTGGGCCAGGAGGCTATCAGGAACCACAAAGATTCCAACAACCAGC